AAATATAAAGAAGTCAACTGTTGGTTGCAAGTATAGCAAAAATAAACCCTTTATTTTCTCAGCGGTCTATATTTTAAAAAGCTTAAGATTATGGAAATTATATTTATGGCTTGATGATTTTCCAAAATAGAGAGCTAGAAGTAGTCAGCCTCTGAAGTAAGTGCCATTTAGGGGAGCTGAATGGGAAATCTCCCTTTCTAGTGAGTCTTTCTTTGCTGTCACCAATTGACTTTTTATTGTTGTTTGTTGGCTGCATTCAAACATCTCCCATCTTATTCTTGAAGGCAACAATAATTTCTTTTTTTGTCTCTGCTTTGATTGCAACAGAATTTCATTAGCTGAGAGGAAAACTGGTAATGAGGATGAAATTTTCTCTTCAGAAAGGCTTCTGGTACTATTCTCTCCCTCCTCCCCATCCCAACTACTGTGATAAAGAACAGGATTCCTTCCACTGTTTGACAATAATTAGGTTTTACAGGCCACCAGTTTATATTTAGGGCAGTTTATATTGTGTTTACGTATCTGCTTGGTTTATGTACGTACGCGTAAGAGAAAACATATAAAACTGACTCTGTATACTTTTAACTAAACGGGTAAAAATTGACTTACAATGCTGTTTACTCAAAAGTTAAAACAGGACATGCCTCTCCTCCTGTGTGTATTTATTGTTGCTGTTTTAGCATTATCGCCATTTCTTAAAGATTGCTAACGTGCTTTTCTCTGGCTTTGCAGTCCTCAAGATTGACACTGTTTTGGGTTCTAATTACCTAGCCCTTCCCTATTACCTTGTCAATGCATTTTTCCTAAAATGCCTGCAGTGTATGGCGCTGCCCCAAATTGCTTGCACAGCTGCTGTGCTTGCTCAGCACATCTCCTCTCCGCAGCATGTCACTTTCAATGAAGACTCACTTTCCCCACATAATGGGTTCCGTGTGCATTTACATATGTCAGCCAAACCCTGTCCTTCCTTTGCACTTGGTATTTTAATTAGGGTTTCTTTACCGTGATGTGCCCCTAATTCGTAAGGAATTGGCCAGAAAATGCAAAGAAGAAATTAAGAGGAAGATATATTTTAATGAATAATCTAATTATTTTTTCTTATTAAACTACATCAAGTGTTTCAATAAAAAAGTGTTAGGTTATTTCTTAGTAATTGAGTCTGCATAGAGAATGCTTCTTAATTAAACAATAAACTTAAAATCTTTCATTAAGAATGTGGTGAAAACAGCATAGTCAGGTGCATCCTCATCTCCCCAGAGGGACAGTTATAAAGTTCTTTGGATATTTCATAAACAGAATCCTTAGGAAAAAATTACATGAACAAGGAAAGCATGGCCTGAGTAGAAGCTTAGCTTCTAGCTTGTAGAAGAGGCTGTTTGAACCATTCCTTAGTAATAATGTTAACTAAGTGCAGGTTCCCACTACCAGGGGTATGGTACAAAAGACAGCCAGGGAATCCTAGAGACCACACTCAGAAACTGATAGTTTAGGAAAATACATGATATTTACAATTATAAGATATTGAACAGGAAGATCAATAAACTTGTGTATTTGTATGTGTGTACCCCCACAAAATGTATTTTAAAATGCATCAAATGCAGAATTCACATATGTGTATTTCAAAAACACATAAAATATCCTTAAATTATGAAAATCCACTAGTTATTTCCAAAAGTCAAATAATTTTAAAAAGAATTATATAGGCCAGATGCTCTAGCCATAGTGGATAACAGCTACAAAAACCTTATGAGACTGGAAATACATTTTTTTAACCTCTAAATGGTTGCCTCGTTAAAGTATAACTCAGTAGAAAAATTATTAAGTTTTTATGGCTGAAAGTCAAGGAAATCATAATGTGTCAAAATGTATGAAATACACTTAATACAGCAGTTATAAAAAAATGAACAGATTTAATACATCAGATACCCCCAAATTAAGCAAATGTTCAAGAAGACAAAGAAAATTAAATAAAAAATAAGTATATGTAGGAAGTAGCAACAGCACATATCAATTTCCACTAGCCAGATTTATAAAATATTATAAATTTGAGTGGTACTGAGCACCAGCAAAGCTGCTGGCAACAGATCCTGTGTGAGATGCATTCTGTTAGAGATTCTGAAGTGCTATTTGGCAGGTGTTTAGTGAAAGTATGTAGTTATATATCTTGCAATTACTTTTTACTATGCACTGAGAAATTACTAAACCTTTAAAGACATACACCAAGAAATGTGTGAGAATGTTTACACAATAAACATATATTTTAAGACCATAAATGATACAGAATTATGCATTTTTCAGAATACATATATGTGGACAAATACATTACATGCTTATTAGAATTGTGTTAGTAAAAAGATGGAATAAAATTATACAGCAATTCAAATTAAGTTTAACCAATTCAAATTTAAGTTTATTCCTCACAGAAAAAAAAAAACCCAAGAGCAGTTCTCTGCTTGCTGAAATGGCTGTGTGATTATGTGGTTTTGGAGGTTGTTCCCACTTTTCTGGAAGTAAAGTACAAGTATTTTCACAGACATAGGATCAATAGCATGTATTCTGCTTTTTTGAGCAAGACCTGTAAGTTTGTTTATTCTTAATAAACTTCAACAAATCTGATTGCCTGAAATGCATTTCAATGATCAAATGACTGGCAGTATTGACTACTCAAGTATAACTCTTTTCTTTCCTATAAAAATCAACATTGAAGCTGGGCATGGTGGCTCATGCCTGTAATCCCAGCACTCGGGAGGCTGAGGCAGGAGGATTGTTGCAAGTTCGAGACCAGTGTGGGCTACAAAGTGAGCTCAAGGCCAGCCTGAACTACATAGTGAGACCCTGTCTCAAAAAGACAAAAAAAAAAAAAAAAAAAAAAAAAAAAAAAAATCTACATTGAAAAACTACAATTTTTTTTAATCAGAAAAGCTTTGCGGTTTATGATGCAATTTTGTGCATGGTAGCTCATCTAATTTGTTCTGAGACCATAAATGTGAATCATTCTTAATGTACAAGTCATGCAAACACTAGAAGAAACTCTGCCACTCGTGCTTGGCCAATCAATGTCTCATCTCTCAGCTGCAATAGGTCCTTCCGGGATTGATGGTCGTCATCATAGAACAGACAAAACTTGGGCAGATGAAAATCTACCTGATGAACATAGATACGTCAAGTAGACATAGCTACAGAAGTCCTGTGTTTGTAGGGTAAAACTTCTATCCAGCTGGTAGCATAATGCCTATTCTGTCAGTGTTAGTGACCAAGCATCAGCTTGGAGTCCACATTGAGTCTCTCAACTCATTATCATCAGTCAGCTGATTAAGGACTCTCTACCCAGAGGGGAACAAAGAAGACTGGACTCCTTCCGTACAGTCTGCACTGACGTGATGTTGGGCATTTCATGGTTCTGTTAGAATACACATGGAAAAAGGTCTAAAGTACAGAAAATACCCTTGAGAAGCAGTTCAACAAAAAGCAATTTCAAATTAGCCAAGTTTATTTATAAGGCAAGGGTGATATTTAACTCTACCACTACATTTAATGTGATCATTTCTAAGTTGATTCAGTGGATTCAGGCAATACAATAATATCCAGTATTAACCCTAATGTTATTTATAGTCAGGCCATAATTAATAATACAATAATTCATTTTCTTTTCTCTATTAAAATATTTTTGATAAATAAGTTGCTTTGGTCATCTGATAGGACTCTTGCTCCTCAAGTTTTTCACATCAGAATGCTACTTCTGAACAAAATACTTTTAGCTGACCCACTAGTTGTGTGAATCCAGCAATACAAAGTTCTGATATAGACAAAAAAGCCTCTCCTTTGATATATATCTTACAAATGTGGGGACATTTTCACTTTATTCTCTCCATGAGGGGCTTTGTAATGAATTTTCCTCCCAATACACATAATCATAAAGCATTTGCACAGGGAGCTGAAATGTGGCGTTTTGTACATTAAAATGGAAAAAGGTACAAAAAAGCAAAATCTCAATATCTTTTATCTGCTGCTATTTTCTCAACAAGACAAGTTGTTCTGATCCTGGGAATGAGAAGCCTGGACACAGATAGTGTAGACGGCCACCTGCACGAGGTACCATGAGGTTTTGTCAAATTGCTTGCATCCAGGTCCAGCCTAAAGGTGCAGCCACAGGTAGAGGATGACCCGGATGTTGGCCAGGATTTTCCTGTAAAGACTGTCCTGCAAGCCACACTGAGAGGAGAAAGTCCTTCATACGGGAAGGAATGTAGGCTGTGATCTGAAGGTGTAATATCTCTGTTTTTCAAATAAACATCAAGTAGGAGGCAGGAGACGCTGTTTTCCTTCACAGACACTGAGACTTTTTGGTTCAGATAATGTTTTTTACATGTTCATAAACAAAAATCAGTTCCTACACTAGCCAGAAGAGACAGGTCTTCGTTTACATGAATGCTCCCCACCCCTGCACTGAGTTTATCTTACAGTGAGCACTTTTAGTGTTCATCTTCAGCATATCTATGCCAGCTAGAATGATGAAAAACTATTTGTGCTTGCTGTCAAAAAATAAGATTCTCCAAAAAAAAAAAAAAAAAAATGAGATTCTCAAAAACAAATGAGATTATCCCAATGAATTGTTTTTCCAGATATTTGGAAATTAATGACTCAAGATGTGTGTTTATTTTATTTGTTAATAACAATTTATATTGGAGTTTTTGTTATTCTCGTCTTTTAAATCCAAGGCCTGGACAGCTCCTGGCTCCTTGCAGTGCGTTCTAGTGGGAGGATCAGGCTTGGGCTGTGACAGGCTGGGGTCCATCAGCACTGGCAGAAGAATGCGCATCGCTAACAGCAAGCAGAGGGCGGGCTGTCTGCAGGAGTTGGGGATTGCGGCAAGTCGGGAAGCCACTTCAGGATGACCTGGCAGGGAGTGAGAGGCTGAAGGGGGTGGGTGAGACTGTGGTACTAGGAAGTTCTGACTGAAACAGCTAGGATTCAGCCAGAGAGAGACAGAGAGAGAGAGAGAGAGGAGAGAGAGAGAGAGAGAGAGAGAGAGAGAGAGAGACAAAGACAGAGACCGACAGAGACAGAGACAGAGACAGAGACAGAGACAGAGACAGAGACAGAGACAGAGACAGAGAGATGGAAGGACCAGGACAACTGGAGAACGGAGCAGTGCTCGGCCAATCTCGGGCACTGGGTATAGGGCCACACCAGATGCTAATGCAAAAGCTGAGTCCTCAGTGAAAGGTGAGCCTGGAACAGGAAAGCTAGGTGGGATGGGATGCCCACATCCTCCTTGTGCCATTTTGGGATGAACCAAACCAAATCCTCCAGCGTATCCCCTGTGCCCACGGGTGCTGTGTGGGGGGCAAAAGGTTAGAGCTGATAGCCCATTACGTATTGATGAACTTAATGGTCAACTTCCTCACTCTACTGTAGTAAAGAGGTATTTCTAAAGTCACCAGGGTCTGTCTATCCTCTATTTATCTATCATTTATCTATTTATGTACCTATCATCTAGTATTATTCACCTGTTTATCTATCATCTATAAATCATTGATCTATCATTTATCTATCAGCTATCTATCATCTGTCTATTGCCTCTCAATTCAGTGTCTATCATCTATTATCACTTATCTATTTATGTACCTTCATATATTTATCATTTATCTGTTTATCATCTATCAAACATTTATCATTTATTAGCTATCTATTGTCTATCAATCATCTATGGTCTATCAGTTATCTACCTATATGTCATCTGCCCATCACCTATCATCTATCTATCCATTCACCTAAGTGTTGATTGTGTCTCACTACTCTCAAGTTTCCACATTTTTCCTAAAAAATATTCTTGAGCTTTCTTTTCAGTTCAAGGAGCATCTTCACTCCCTGTCATCGTCAGCAATCTCTTAGCCTGAAGCCGTTGTCTGTTTTAAGGAGTTATTCTGTGCTTTCCAATTTGTGTCACCTAATGTCTCAGGGGTAGAAAAACCAGGTAAGCAAGCTCCGCTGACCTGTTAACAGAAGATGGTAGGAATAATTCAGTGACATCCCACACATTCAGAAATTTTTAACGTGAAAGACACAGCAGTGACACAATTCTTCTTAAAACTTGTATGAAAACTTGTTTAAATGCCAAGATAAATCTTAGTTTCTGAACAATCCCCCTGCATTTTCTTTTGGAGAGAATAATGCAGGAATACTCTATCCAGATCATGTTAGCATTTATATTTTATATTCTAAAGATTTTTTTTTTTACTCAAGAGCAAATCCATGCTTCAACATTCACAACTGGTAACGAGACAAAAAGATAGTTAACCTAGCTGGAATATTTTTAAGAGAATTTCTTCTGATGTGTTTAACATCTAGGCTAATACTAAATGAATTGCATCATTTGCAATCATTTTGTTTGTCTAACTGTGAATCTTAGGTAGATGTCATTTTAAAATTTGGAATCATAACATAAAATTATTCAAAAGGCATAATATGTTGCTTCAGTTTTGCAAATCTTCGTGTTCCAGCCAAAAAGAAACAAAAATGACATCAGTACTGATGATTAGCAAGACTAAAAATATTAGCACAAGAAAGTATGAAATTAAATCAGTCAAAACTACCCATTAATGTGTTAAATTCTTCTCATCACTCTATTTGCTTTCTCATTTCCCCCAGTGTTTCTCTTACCCTTTCCCCTTTGTTTTTAAATATTTTCTCCCTCCTAAGTTCATGTTTTTACATTTCCAGTTTCTCTGCCTTCTTTCTGTTTAAATATGGCATATCCTTTAATTGTACTGGACCACTGTTTCATCTTATCCTATTCTATCTGATTATATAAACATTTTAGAGGCTATTTGATTACATATTTTCAAAAATGACAAGAATCAGATAAGATAAAACCCAGCAGCAATTCAAAACTGAAAAGTAATATATTAAAACTGCTAATCTGGAGACATTTTATATTAATAGATTTGCAGTGTGACCTCAAAGTCAGTGAGCTGGGCATTTTGCCTGGCTGAAGGAGACAGAGATTTGGAGGATGGGAAAGGTGTGTGGCTTTTTTCACTTTTGGGTGCCTGTTTTGTGTTTTTTAGCCAAGGGTGGCAATGTGAGAGGGTAGATGTGAGACCTTTAGGAGTGGGCTGGTGAAGTAACTGGGAATTTAAGGAACTTGACTCTGGTATTTAGCAGCACTCAGCAGTTTAATGTTCATGAGTGATACTGGTGCTGCTACCTCTAATAATTGGCATTCAGTTGATGATGTATTTAAATCCCCAACTTGTCAATCTTGCTTGTGCTTTTATATTAATACCCTTATATCGTCAACAAAATTCAAGTTTCCTCTTGCAGATAGGAAAAGATCTTCATCAGTACAAAACATGTGGAGGACAAGAAGTTAATTTGGATTACAGAAAAAAGTGGTGGTGGAGGTGAGTATTTCTGATGACTATAATTTATTTTTAAAATCATTTTTTTATGCCCATAACAGGATGGACTTTTCATTTTATGTGGTAGAAATAACCATTCAGAAAAATATCAGATACACTGCCAGGGAAGGTACAAGTGATAATACAGCATCCACCGCCCAAATTCCATCCCAGCCATCATCCGTCCCATCCATGTGACTTCTGGTTCTTCCCCAACATCGAAATGACCATGAAAGGTAAATATTTTCAGTGGATCCAGGCCATCAAGGCAGCCAAGACACCAAGTCTGCTGACACTCATGACAAAGGACTTCCAGGCCAGCTTCAGACAAAGGTAAGAACAATGGGACACATGGTGGTGGCGGGAGCAAGAGCTGAGGAAGGGGTTTGGGGTGAAAGGCAGAGAAGCTGCGGATGTGTACAGGGTCTTTTTTGAGGGTTGAACATATTCTAAAACTGATTGTTGGGTTGGTTGTACTGCTCTGAGTATTGTAAATATGATTGAGCATTTTGATCTATGAATAATATGAATATAATACAAACTATATCTTAAAGCGTTTATGGAAAAAATGGAAATTAAAACTTTGAGTAATGTGTTATAATTTTATATTTTTCCATTTCTTATGTTGAATTTTACAGTTGAATTTTTCCATGTAAAATTTTATTTTATTATAATGAATCTTTTTTTTTACAGCTTGAACCCAGGTTTTTGCACATGGTAGACAACTTTCTACCCCTACACTAAGTCTTTAGCCCCCAGTAATTTTCTTTATGGCTGTCCTGCAGTATATCTTACTTAAAATTAATTCCTTATAGAAATGCTACTGCATGTTTTCACATTTTTTTGAATACTTTTATAAAATTTTTACAATTTCTAAATCTAAAAAAAATGCAATTTTCAATCTATCTTTAATTATTAAAAATAAAAAGCACAGAAATATTTTTTCTTTCTGATTGGCCATGTTACTTTCATTACATACTGCTACTCACGGTTGAGGTTATTTCTAGAAATTCTCCATCTAACTATGCTGCTGTAGTATACTATCTAATAACTTAACTGCAAAATTTGTGTTTTACTAGCTGGTAACATTGTTCATTAATGATCTCATTTGTAACATTTCAGAATTTTTAGGTATTTCTGCATGTCTGTATTATAAATTTTTCAATTGGTTAATCTAGTTTTAAAAAGTACATATTGAGTACTCTTGTTATTTTCATTGGAATCATTTAAAATGTGTATATTTATACTTTAGAAGTTTTTAAAGCATTGAATATTTATATACAGTAATAAACTGCATTCTCTTCATTCAAGTGTTTTTTTATCTTAGTATTTTAAACATATCTTTGTGTGGAACTGATGCAGGGCTTGTTGTATTTACCAGTTCTATTCATTTTCTTTTGTCTTTTTGGCCAATAAAAAGGATTCCCAAGAGGACATGGTTGACACGCGCCTGTAACCCCAGCAGCCTGGGAGGTTGAGGCAGGATTTCAAATTCAGTGTGAAAACCTGTGTTTAATGACTTACACTGAAAAAAAAAATTCCCTCCCCCCTTTCATGGCACCTCTAAGGACCAAATCTAAGACTGGTCGACCACTAAGTTACTCCTCAGCCCTTTTTATTTTGAGACTGGGTTTCACTAAGTTGCCAAGGATGGCCTTGACATCGTGATCTTCCTGAGAAAGTTTCTAAAATATCTGGGATTGCAGGCATGCACCCTTAGAGCCAGCTGATTCTCCATTTCTTATGTGTGTTTATTTGTAAAAACGAAGGTAATTTTATATGATACTTCAATAAATAGATAGTTTATCTCATGGTAATCTTAGCTGATTCTTCTGAACTTTCTTCTCTTTTCTGTTTTTTGTTTGTTTGCTTTGTTTTGTTTTAGACAGCATCTCATTATATTGTGCAGGCTACCTTTAAACTTACTATGTAGTCCAGGCTGCCCTCAAACTTGTGGTTCTCCTCCAGCTTCAGCTTTCTGAGTGCCAGTGTTATAGTTGCATCGTGTTGTTATAGATTAAAAACTGGTGGTCAACTTAATGCCAGCGGAATTAAATCACCATGGTACTGAGTGTAGATGTTCCACCTGGGAAAGTTGCCAGCATAAATAGAGGTGTGGTGAAGGGAAAGGGAGGTGTTGAGGTGATGAGGCAGTGTGGGTTCTCCTGTGTGTTGCTGTTTGAGCTGTTGGTTCTCCTGGAGAAGCTCCGGTCCTTATATCAAGTGTTGCTTCCTGGCTCTGGAGGGGAAGACATGTGCTGCTTAATTTCCAGAATGGATGAGTCACACTAGCTTCCTGGCATTACTCAACTGTGCTTATGGTCGGGAAGGAGCTCAGGGCCTTCATGTCACTGAGGATGGCTGTGGTGCTTTTCAGGACAGCTCTGGTCTTTGTTTTGAGTGTGACTTCTTGGCTCCAGCATAGAACCCTCAACCTACCAGCACAGCTCCTTCACACTGCTGGCATAGACTTTCTAGCTTCCACCTTTGATCTTGGGCCTTCCCAGCACAGATCCATAAAAGAGACTGGCGTGAGTCCTTCTTGTGGGCTCTAGACCTCCAGTTGGATTCGTGGGAGGAGGCATTGTCATGAGCTCTGGGTCTTCATCTGAATTCATGTGGGATATTGCTGTGGGATTCAGGCCCTTGGCTAAATATTCTATGTCTTTAGTGTTGTGGATAAATTTCCTGCATTTTCTTGTGTTAACTCTAAATGACCATGATAAAATAATATTATAAATTCCATGTTCTGGTTTTAATTTTTCTCTGCACAACCTCTGACTATAACACATGCATATCTTTCTTTTGAATTTTCTAGTTGCAAAAACAATAAAAGTGTGTTTCTCCTATCCAATGCTCATGCTTCTCTAATTATATTGACCAATACTTTGCCCCCTAAAATCTGAAAGTATACTTGTGAAGAAGAAAAACTTGTGCTGTAATTTAGTGTGTCATTAACTGTTTATCCAGTAAGTAAAATATCAACTTGTTTTAAAGACATATTACATGTATAAGTATCTCTAAGGATCTCATTTTTATTAGGAAAGTCTAACAAAATCAAGGCAATTGAGGCTTATCAATTAACCCAAGACCTTCACACTTTTGACCTAAAAGGAGTTATATATATATATATATATATATATATATATATATATATATATAGTTTGTTTGTTTGTTTTGTTTTTCACTTTGACCTGTGTAGTATCAGTTGTGGGCAATAATGAACACTTTAGCTGGCTTAGTCAGGAAAAGATTCCTTAACTCGTATTTTGTGGTTTTAAAATCTTTAGGTGATTGGCTGTAGGTGGGATTCCAAATTCAGTGTTGTACTTGCTGTCAGCCAGTGACTACTGCTACGGAAGCCCTTGAACGAAGAAGCTGTTGTCTGTGGGACAGTGGGTTCTGCCTCAGTCCCTGTACCAGAGCAGAACCTTTTATGAATCCCTCCCAGTTTAGCACAGTTCCAAACGCAAACCTCCTGGCCAGCTTGCCTGCCTGGTGGGATCCTGAATCACACTCAGCCTCCAATGCAGAGGAACCCACGTCCCACTCTCTAGAACACAGAGAGGGGATGCAAGGGGCCAAAGGCTGAGATGGTGCACAAAACCTGCCACATGGCTAACACAAGGATTGTGTTTACTTTTCCTGCTTTAACGGCATTTCATTTCCAAAATGAATTCAAATTATGCTGTGTTCTGATACTCCACTTACATCAACAGATGAACATTTTTGCATCAACTTTAAGAAATGTGCTCAAGTATTTTTTTTCTCCTCTTTGCCATTTTTGTTCATTTTGTGATCAATGTTAGGAGGAATTGCAGACTGAATTTGGAACATTTTCCTCTTCACATACTCGGGAGCATGTTAGATAATAAGAGCTATTTTTTTTTCCTTGAAAGCGTGGACTTTAACTGTCCATCTGTTTGGCTCCTATCAGATCTATAGAAGAGCTCTGTGGTTTTGCCTATTCAAAACAAGTTGCATAGATTTCTGCATCTTCCTTCAGTGACCGATTTTAGAAAGGATTGATTTCTTACAAAAGCATCACTGGGCATGATGACACACACTTGTAATCCCAGCACTATTGAGGATGAGGCAGAAGGATTGCTGTGAGGCCAAGGCCAGCCTGGGCTACATAGTGAGACTTGGTCTCAAAAAATAACAACAACAACAACAACCATGAAAAGAAGAAAGAAAGAAAGAAAGAAAATGAAAGAAAGAAAGAAAGAAAGAAAGAAAGAAAGAAAGAACATATGCTTTTCCAGGATAACAAATTTAATCACATTAATTTGAGCAAACTACATTACTATTTCTCCATGTGTAATGATTTCTTCATATACATTTTATCAGTTTTTGTGTTTGCATGGTTATTACTATTTTATTTTTTTTTTTTTTTTTTTTTTTTTAATTTTTATTTAAGGAGAAAAGAAAAGAAAAAAAAACAGTGAAGGGTACAAGTTATACAGATTTACAGAAGAAAAAAAAATGCGCAGTAGGAAATCACTAGTTAATAGATTACATATTGCCATCTTAGAAATAATTGTTCAAGTCACAGAATTAAAGTTTGTAGAGTGGACATTCCAGCAATGATACTGCAAACAGTTCTGTTCAATGATCCATTAGAACTCTGTGATATCATTTTCTGTCTTATACATTTAAATATACATGCAGTTATATAGTTTAGAGCATTTTCTTTTCCTCTCTTTTGTACAGTGACTATTACACATTTTGGGTTACTATTTTATAATATCTCAGGGATTCATTTATTAGTGTTTTTAATTCCAAAATATTATTATCTTTATTTGGTAGTCTTACTATTTCTTTAAGCTTATTTTAACTCTATTAAATTTTTGTCTAGTTAGTTTTTAAGACTTTGCTACCAAAATTAGCATTTGAATAGATATTTATTTTTCTGTATATTTTTTCATATTTTCTGTTTCCTATAAAATTAACCATTTTAGTTATTTTATTTATGAACCAATGTAAAATAACTTTGAAGTCTTAGATTTTTTTAGTACTTTCTTTTAGTTATTATTTTATGTTTTTAGTAATTTATAATCAGGTTATTTTATCCAATGGTTTCATCTCACAACTCTTGTGGCTCCTGAGGTTCTGGAGGTGAAAGACTGCAAGAGAATGAGAAAAATAAAGAAAAGACAAAGCTGGGGTCAGGTGGAGCCCCTACTCTCCTGATGGGAGGAAAGATGCTGTTCAACCTGTGTAGCATTCTTATTTATATACTGGGAAGAATAATGTCAATTTCAGCCCCTCTTGCTAGCAACCCATTGATTGAATTGTCTAGGAGCCTGATGTTATTCTGGACTGTAGCAACT